ACATACATATTTAACGGGTGTCCAACTAAGAGACCAGAGGGAATCAAACTAGAAGAATGTTAGTCTAGTGGGAAAAAAACTTTAGTCACTTAAAGGTGTTTAGGTCTATTGAACTTAGACATGTTCCTTACCAAATGATCTTGATTGGTTATCCCTAAACTGATGGTTGCAAGTTGTTTGAACCTATGAGTAAGAAAATAGTAATTAGCAGAGTTGTTGTAATAGATGAATGAAAAAATGAGATTATATAAATTGTGTTAAGAAGAATTTAGGGAGAATCGTGTATGAAGAGCCAATTAGTGAAATTGAAGTGCAGACTCAAGCAAGTATCAATAGGCCTCAAAGAGTTAGAAACATGTTAGTCAAAGTGCAAGAATGTGTAGTGACACTAAATGATGTGTTCAATGATGAAAGGGATCTAGCGCGATATGAATTTTATGCATACACTGTGTTTGGACTCTATATAAGTCAACAAGACTTGGCCACTTGTTGATTTAACGTAGGGAAAGAAGGAAATTAATGTGAAGTCGGTATAGAAAGTGAAGCTAAATCTTAAAAGTAAAGTGATTAAACACAAAGAAATGCTTGTGGCCAAAGGGTTTTTCAAAAAGAATGCATTGACTTTGATGAAGTCTTTGCATCAGTTGCTAGGATTGAAACAATATGATTGGTTGTTGCTTTATCCAATATCAATAATGATCCATGTGTCAGATGGATGTTAAGTGTGCTTTTTTGAATATTTCTTTGGATGAAGAAGTGTATGTTTTACAACCAGTTGGTTTTAAGCAAGAAGGCCAAGAGAAAAGTGTACAAACTGCATATGGCATTGTATTGACTTACAATTTCCAAGAGCTTGGAAAAAGAATATAAGAGATATATAATTCACTAAGTGTGGATCTCAGCATAGTGTGTATGTTAGAAGCGATAACAATAATGAGTTGATAATTATATATCTCTATAAAAGTGACTTGTTAATCACTGACAGTTGTGAGAAGGAAATTAAAGATTTCATTGGACCTAATTAATAAATTTTAGATGGTTGATCTTGACAACATCTCATATTTCCTTGGAATTGAGTTTTACAAATGTATTAGGGGATTATTGATGCATCAAAGAAGATATGTAAATGAGGTACTCAAGAGATTTAAGGTGAAGAACTACAAATCTACATCAACACTAGTTGATCCAAGAATGCTCTTATAATGTGTGGTTTGGGCCTAACTCGACCCTATAAAACTGGGTTGTAAGGTGTGGATTGCCCCCACTTATAAACACATGTTCAGGCTATATATTGTCCGGTGTGTGACTCTTAACACCCCCTCTCATGCCCAGGAATTAGGGTTAGAGCGTGGAACTAAATGGTGGGTGGCCTAATGGATCTTAGATGAGGCTCTGATACCATCATAGAATATGTGGGTTAGGCCTAACTCGACCCTACAAAATTGGCTTGTAAGGTGAGAATTCCCCGCTTATAAACACATGTTCTGGCCATATATTGTCCGGTGTGGGACTCTTAACAACTCCAATTGAAAAAGGGACTTAGGTGAGAATAACATTGATCCAACTCAAGATAAAAGACTCATTGGATCACTGAGATATCTTTGTCACGCAAGACCTAGTCTTGCATACAATGTATGTATGGTAATCAAATTCATGAAATTCCAAAGTTGTCACATCTAGTAGCCACTAAAAGGATACTAAGGTATCTTAGAGGCACATTAAATTATGACATCTTGTTTCTAGTTTTCGCTAGAGGAAGGGAGTGCAAGCTAGTTGGGTGCACTGATTCTAGTTTGTGTGGTGATGTTGATGATAAAAAATCAACATGTTATGTGTTCATGCTAGATGGTGCGCCAATAGCTTAGAGCTTAAGAAATGATCTTGTGGTGGCTTTGGCCTCATGTGAAGCAGATTACATTAAAACATCACTATGTGCTTGTCTAGATTTATGATTGGTTAATTTGATTGATGAAGTTGAAGGAAATTTTATGGAGCCATGACCATAAAGATTGGCAACATATATGCCATAAATTTGGCAAAATATCTTGTTGCCCATGGCAGGAAGAAACATATAGAGATGATATTCCACCGCCTTATGGAGTATGTTAGCAATGGAAGGCTTTGTATAGAGAATTCTATAAGTGAAGATCAAGTTGCAGACATCATTACCAATGCCATGTAAGTGGAAGTATTTAAGAAACTTAGAATTTTAATGGGTGTTGACAGCTTAGACACGATGAATTAGGCGGTGTGTTGAATGTAATTCATTATATGTGTCTTACTTAGAATACAAGTAAGATTTGGTTAGAGATAAATTTTTGTTTTAACTAAGTAAATTGTGACAGTTAGTTAGGGATTTGTTAGTTACTGTTGACATAGTAAAGCGGCAAACAAAAGATTTGAAGTATTTCGGGTTTTAATGTATCCATATTTTCTATATTTCCGAGCTTGGTTTTGAATGTTTAAAAGTAAAAATACATGAACGAGAAAATAAATTCATTCTTTTGAGAGGAGAAACTTATCAGGCATGGATATAATTTACTCGTCACAGACTTAAACTTATCGATCAATTGTACTCAATCTAAAATACTCATCAAAATCATCATGTATCTCTCACATCAGTGTCCATTTCTGAAACACATACGAGACATACCACAAGAGAGGTTATGTCTAACGCAAAGTTGCAAGAACAATTGTATTACTCGCGTCGGTGATGTCTCGTGCAACTTAAACAAAACAGAGGCATTAAGCTTTGATACCCACAATGAATATTAGCTCTAAATATATATCTAGAATCTAGAAACTAATAGATATCCATCCCTAATCATAATTTGTGAGGTGTATGTCTATAACAATGCAAATCCAAACATAAAACAAAAAGACTAAGGAAGACATCAAGATTGATTTGTAAAGAAGACTTTATACAATAGCATGATCAACAAATATACATAGGTTCAGAGTAAGTTTACAAATAAAATCCAACAAATAGAGAAATACATTGAGAAGAATGAAGATGAATAGGAATCTCATCGGTTGTCAATGTCGATTGATGCAGATTTAACTCTGGATCATCGAAATGCAACCTCCAATGTTGTTTCTAAGCTAATTTACTCAAAAAAATGGTTGTGATGGTGTTAGGACTCAAAAATACCCAAACCATGCCCTAAAAATGTATTTTGAACTCTATTTATACACTTTAATACCCGCAAATCCCGCTTAGCGGTAGTAGAGGTCCACTTAGCGCACTTTGCTATGTCGAGAGAAAAATCAGCTTATTTTCACCATAATTTGAGAACCGTAACTCCGATTTACGCATAGTTTGAAGCATTGGAAAGCTTATTCAATGCTCTTTATTACAATGACTAAATATCATTGCTTGAATATCTATAAAATTTAGATAAAAAATCAATCAAATGATATTTATACAAAAACACGAGTATACACAGTATAAACGTATTTACAAACTATTTGAGGTTTATTGCAAGAAAAACTAAAGAATCAAGCTAATAAGTACCAATTGTTCACACTCAAAAACACCATAGTTTGACACTTATCAGTTACTTGTAATGCAAGTAACAACTACATATACTCTTGTAATGTGACCATTCAAGCTAGTGCAATACATCTCATTATCTCACTCTCAATTTTATCTTTTTATCAATTCAATCAAAAGTACAAAGTGAGTGTGTGTGTGTGGAGGAGGGCATGCACGTGTGTGTGAGAGAGAGAGAATAAAGCTTAAGTAAATTGTGTGGATCATTCATATTCTTGTGATTGTAGCTTGATTTTTGTTCCAACATTTCTCAACCCCTTCGAATCCCAACAACGTCATTTTAGCTCATTTTATTATTTTTAATTTTTTATTATGACCTATTCTCTCGGTTCTTTAAAGATAATCTATGCGTGTTTATTTAAACAATAAATTTTTATCGTCCATTTATAAAATAACAATGATCAAGATATTGACAATTTATTAATCTCCATGAAACATCAACTAACGATCTGCTTGAATTTCACGCCGGCCAATATATTAGAACATAAACCAACAATTTATCTTTAAAGCAAAGTGCAGAGTCTTGAAAATATGCTGATAATAAAATATTGCATGAGGTAGAAGCCATTCCATAGCACAGATTGCAAAGCAAATAAATGTCTCAAGGTTACTTTCTTTATGTATCTTTTCTTGTAATTTCTAAAATTATTTTCTTTAATAGATATTTGTTAAAATTATTTGATGTTAGTTAGAAAAATATGAATTTAACTTAATCATGTTTGTTGTTACATTGTTATTGTTATTGTTATTGTTTTTGTTAAAAATATTAAAATTCAGCAACAACTAATTCATACTTTATACTAAGAACATTAAACTTTTTTTAATATATTAAATAAAATAATTTTAACAATTGATATTACAAGAGAAGATGAATCCAACCTTGATCGAAATGTTTCTATACTCTTGTAAATCTATCTTAAAGAATAATTTTGTAATTTTGATTTGACCTGTGGAAAATCAATCAAAAAGAAAAGTTGTTTATTTTATCTTGGTGGAAAAATGAACAAGAGGAAAGTGAAAACTTTCTATTACACTTTTTGTTAACTCTGCCTACCAAAACCGAGGTGAAAAACCTGTTTCGTGAATTTTTAAGATGCTCGTTTTAAAAGATAAAGTCGTGAGAGTTCTCGTATACAAAGAAAAAATTTATCAGTTTATGAGAAGATTCAGTTTGAATACAAAAGTTAAAAACTATCCTCGTCCCACTTCATTGTCTTGTCTATCCACCATGCAAATTTCCTTTACCATCCCTGGTTGCCTCCAAATTAGACCCACTCTTTTTCGCCACTTGCATATATCTATCATAATCTTTCGACACGAGTCTAAAAAAAGCAGTACTCCAGCTAGCAAATTTTGTTACTATTAATTTCCTAAACCTGGTTTCATCAGCTATAAATACTACCTCAAAATATCTCTCATTTCACAAACTTAATCAACATTCTCTATCATGGCTTTCTCTAAGCTTCTAGCTGCTTCACTTCTGGCATCACTTCTCCTTCTCCATTTTGTTGATGCAGCAGATCAATCGGTATGTATATAGTTTTTGTTCATTAACTAACCACTTTTAATATAATCTTTTACTAATTTATGTGTGTTTTTGATGAACCGCAGGAGCATGCAAAAACACAAGGTTCTCTTCTTCAGCAAATAGGTACAACTACAACATGCAAATTTATTTATATATGAGTATTTAATAATATATGTACGAGTGTGATCATAACTTTTGATTAATTTGAAAACGTGATTACATATTACAGATTGTAATGGATCATGTGTTGCAAGATGCCGTTTATCATCTCGACCAAGATTGTGTCAAAGAGCATGTAGGACATGTTGTAGAAGATGTAACTGCGTGCCACCTGGTACTGCTGGAAACCAAGAAAAGTGTCCTTGTTATGCCAGCTTGACTACTCATGGTGGCAAACGCAAGTGCCCATAGAAAAACAAAAACTACCTTAATTTGAATTTGGACTCAGAATCTCTTATCATAATATATCCAAAAACACATGCATTAACAAGAAATAAATAAATAAATAAATATTTCTCTGGTTACTGTGTCTGAATCCGCAAGTATTTTCAGTAGCTGTTGAATTACCGAGTGTTAATTTAAAATAATAGTAGTCTTCTTGTCTATTGTATTCAGTTCTTTTGTACTAGTACCTATCATTTCATTTGTATAAATGAGAATATCTTGGATATATATTGGATATTTTAGTAATTCATTATTATTTCGTTTTTAAATATTTGTGGCAATTAAGCAAAATAGTTTTTTTTAATCAATGAATAGATTTTACGAGTTATCTAAGATTCGAGTGAAATCTTAAACGGGGTGCTGAGTTGATACGATTTTAAAATATTAAGGATGATGATTAAAATTTAAGGGTATTTGCTCTGACAGGACAAAGGATATTCCTAATGAAATATAATGACAAATGCATAAAATGGTTAATTAGATGTAACTTTTTTTCAAGAGAAGGTGTGTTAGATTGTGGATACTGTTAGAATTAATTTAGATTTAACTAAATATTAGTTTATATTTAAGATATATTTTAGATTTAATTTGTGTGTATAAATAGTCTAGTGGAGTAGGTTATTGTAATTTATTGTAAATCTTTATTTTTTGAAACTATCAGTAAATATTCCTTTTGTCTTTTATCTTCCTTGTGCTCCAATAATTGGTATCTAGAGTTCCTGGTTAGAAACTCTGGAATTTGGGAAACATTGATTTTTCATTGAGTTTCTGCGTAAATTGCACAAGGTAGAAGATGAACGGAAACGACGATATTCATTCCAAACTTCCAGTATTTGATGGCAAAAACTGGAATCGTTGGAAGATTCAGATGCGCGTGTTATTTGGTTCTCAAGATGTGTTAGATTTTGTCACTGATGGCTATAATCTGTTAGAAGCAGACGCAACAGAGGCCCATAAGATAGCACAGAAGGCGCTGAGGAAGAAAGATCAGAAAGTGTTGTTCTACATCCATCAATGTGTGGATGTGAATGTGTTTGAGAAGATTGTTGATTCTGGAACAACAAAGGCTGCGTGGGACACACTGGTCAGATGTTACGGTGGTGACACATCAGTGAAGAAGGTGAAGCTTCAGTCTCTCAGAAAGCAATATGAGAATCTCAACATGAAGGACAACGAGAAGGTTTCTGAATACATCTCTAGAGTGATTCTGATTACTAATGAGGTGAAAGCTTGTGGAGAAACTCTGACTGAACAATTAATTATTGAGAAGATCTTGATATCTTTAACTTCTCAGTTTGATTACATTGTTGTAGCAATTGAATATTCCAAAGATCTGAGCACCATGAGAGTTGAAGAGTTGCAAAGTAGTCTAGAGGCGCATGAGTTGCCTATGACTGCAAGAACTTATGAGAGGGAAGTAGAGCAACAGACTTTGAAGTAACTTCTGGTAAGAAGCATCAGAAGCAGACCTGGTCAGAAGCTAGGAAGAGAACTAATGGTGGTTAAAATTCAAAAGCTTCAAACTCTGATAGGCAGAAGAATGTCCAGAAGGGAAAGGAGAAGTCTGACAAGAAGAATGTTCAGTGTTACTGTTGTAAGAACTTTGGTCACTATGCCAGAGATTGCTGGTCCAACAAAGAAAGGAAGTCAGAAGAAGCAAATATAGCAAGAGGAGACTCTGATGATGAACATGTGCTATTGTTGGCTTCTGAACCCGATGATCTGAATTCATCATAATGGTGGTATATGGACACAGAGTGTTCAAACCATCTTACTGGAAACAAGAAGTGGTTGGTTGACTTTGACTCTAGGAAGAGTACAAAGATCAGATATGCTGATGACAAATACCTCAATGTAGAAGGTATGGGAAATGTCAGAATCATTCTAAACAATGATTCTGGATCACAGCTGCTTTCCTATTGTTTAGAATGATTCTGATATTTCTCATACCTTATGCATTGAGGTATTTGTCATCAGCACATCTGATCTTTGTACTCTTCCCAGAGTCAAAGTTAACTAACCACTTCTTGTTTCCAGTAAGATGGTTTGAACACCCTGTGTCCATATACCACCATTCTGATGAATTCAGATCATCAGGTTCAGAAGCCAACAATAGCACAGGTTCATCATCAGAGTCTCCTCTTGCTATATTTGCTTCTTCTGACTTCCTTATTTTGTTGGACCAGCAATCTCAGGCATATGACCAAAGTTCTTACAACAGTAACACTGAACATTCTTCTTGTCAGACTTCTCCTTTCCCTTCTGGACATTCTTCTGCCTATCAGAGTTTGAAGCTTCTGACTTTTGACCACCATTAGTTCTCTTCCTGGCTTCTGATCAGGTCTGCTTCTGATGCTTCTTACTAGAAGTTACTTTCAGAGTCTGCTGCTCTACTTCCCTCTCATAAGTTCTTGAAGTCATATGCAACTCATGTGCCTCTAGACTACTTTGCAACTCTTCAACTCTCATGGTGCTCAGATCTTTGGAATGTTCAATTGCTACAACAATGTAATTAAACTGAGAAGTTAAAGATCTCAAGATCTTCTCAATAATTACTTGTTCAGACAAAGTTTCTCTACAAGCTTTCATCTCATTAGTAATCAGAATCACTCTAGAGATGTATTCAGAAACCTTTTCATTGTCCTTCATGTTGAGATTCTCATATTGCTTTCTGAGAGACTGAAGCTTCACCTTCTTCACTGATGCGTCACCACCGTAACATTTGACCAGTGTGTCCCACACAACCTTTGCTGTTTCAGAATCAACAATCTTCTCAAACACATTCACATCCACACATTGATGGATGTAGAACAACGCTTTCTGATCTTTCTTCCTCAGCGCCTTCTGTGCTATCTTCTGGGCCTCTGTTGCGTCTACTTCTAACAGATTATAGCCATCAGTGACAAGATCTAATACATCTTGAGAACTAAATAACACGCGCATTTGGATCTTCCAACGATTCCAGTTTTTTCCATCAAATACTGGAAGCTTGGAATGAATATCGTTGTTTCCGTTCATCTTCTACCTTGTGCAATTTACGCAGAAACTCAATGAAAAATCAATGTTTTCCAAATTTCAGAGTTTCTAACCAGGAGCTCTAGATACCAATTGTTGGAGCACAAGGAAGATAAAAGGCAAAAGGAATATTTACTGATAGTTTCAAAAAATAAGGATTTACAATGAATTACAATAACCTACTCCACTAAGCTATTTATACACACAAATTAAATCTAAAATATATCTTCTACAAAGATATAAGAAGATCTAAGATTTATATCTTCTAACAAACATATAAATAATCTAAAAGATATTCCTAAATATAAACTAATATCTAATTAAATCTAAATTAATTCTAACTGATATAAGAGCCTTTCAAAGAAGAGACAAACCAAAAATATTAAGGGATTTCTTTGTCCACGTCAAAAACACCTCTAAAAATTTTAAAATATTTAAAATATTTGTCGGATAAATATATTCAAACGAACTTTTAAATCAAGTTTTATGAAGTTTTCGGATATGCATATTCGAAAAAGTAAAAACCCTTTATTTACATGTTATATAATTTAAATATTTAGTGGTATTTTCAGACATGCATATCTAAAAATACCTTGTCACATAAGTTTGTTTCATGATCATTCCTACCACTATTTCATTCATTTCATTTTCTCCCATAACCAAAATCTACTTCAAAACTTCTACCATTCTCAACCATTTTTTCGTCTCCAAATCAAAATTCAAGTCTTTTATCATATCAAAGAGAGTATAGAAAGCTAGAATTTAAGGAAAAAATTCTCATTTTGTCTCTCATTTCCTTGCATTGATTCTGACTTTTATTGGAAAAAATTGTGTTCCTTCGAATATGCATATCTAAAATGGACCTAACATATTTCGGATGTGCATATCTGAAACTATGTCTTTACAAAAAAACATAATTTTATGTTGAACAAATTTGATGTTTTTGACCATTTTAGACATGGTGCACCCCGACATGTTTTTCAAAGTTGGTGTAAAGGATACTGACAAGGTGAATGAGGATGATAAGTCAGAAGAGTTGAAGGACGATGTTAAAATGATTATTGTTGCAGTAGATGTTCAACAACAATTTACAATTCATCAAATTTTCAATGCTTGTTAACATATGCTAGAATGGGTCTAAATTGAAGCTAGAAAACTCAAGTTTGGTGTTGTGATCAGAAGGTACAACAATGACACTAGTAGAAGGCAATCATTTATAACGATGACATGCGAGAGAACTGGAAAATATGTTCCAAAAATTATCCACAAAGGTGTCTAGTCCTACACTATATATCAAGGCTTCTTAGTGAGAGACACACCAGTTGTCCATCTACAACCTTAAGGTGATAGGTGAGTGGGTTCTCCCACTTATATATGCTTAATTCTCCATATTCAAATCTAATGTGGGACTATTTCTCCACTTACTCACACTTACATTATTATTCTAACACTTCCCCTCAAGTGTGAGTCCATAATGCTCCCCCTCACACTTGTACGACCGTTGATGTACCTCTTCTTGTAATGGACCATTTAGAAATGCTGACTTCACATCCAGATGCATCAGAGGCCAATTCCTATTTGCAACTAAAGAAATCACCAGTTTGATTGTTTTATGTCTAGCTACAAATGCAAACACCTCAAAGTAATCTAGTCCAGGTTTCTGAAGAAAACCTCTAGCCACTAGCCTTACTTTGTGCTTTCCAATTGATCCATTTGGCTTAAATTTTACTTTGAAAACCCATCTGACGTTGCTTGCTTTCTTCTTGTTTGGAAGCTTAGTCAACTTCCAAGTCTTGTTTCTTTCTATAGCCTCAAGTTCTTCTTTCATCGCATTCAGTCATATTTTCTTCTTGAGAGCTTGTTCAATACCCACTGGTTCAAAATCTACTAACATGGCACACTGAATAACTTCTCCCTCGGAATCTACTTCAGTGTCTTGCAACATGTCAAAC